CCGGCCACAGAGCTCATCCGACCTCGGACTGCGCACGTTCACGCGTGTAGAAGAGCGCCGGTGCGCGACATCCGCAGCGGCCGGTCGGAGCGGTGGCGGCGGTGATGACGACAGCTCGGCACCACCCTGCTTTGAGAGCTGCCAATACGTCAACACGTCACAACATGCGTCAAGATCACCGGAAAGCAATGGAGCACTGGCGCGGGCTACTGATGTCTCAAAACCGCCAATGTGCGTGCCATTCCTGTGCTCCCCGAGGCGCCGTAAATATACCACAGTCACGGGCAGTTGATGCGTCGCTGGGCTCAGCCCGAGCGCTGTTTTTGTGTTCCCCGGGGCACGCAGAGCCGGTGACGTTTGTTGTTGCCATCTCGCTGTTTTGCCGACTGCGAACGACCAGCGAATCTCAAGCGGACGGATCGCTGGCGTGCGCGTGGGCGAACAAGGCATGACGTAACAAGTGGCGACGTCCGGGGCCGGCGCCGCGGGCTCCTTAGGCAGGGTTTGGACGACCACGCTGCTGCAGGACTGAATGATAGGGAATGACTCATATGAACATTGTTGGAATAAAAAGGCATTGGGTGTTACAGAGCGTTTGACGAAAGATATTCGATCATGTGTTGTAATGAAACTTGTCCCTCGCAACCATCATGACAAAGCGTAGTAGGCACTGTATGACATTCCATAACTTCGTCGCGTGCAACTTCGGTGTGCATTTTTACCATTACAAAGTAAATTTTCCTAAAGTTTGGTGGTAGATGCATCACTTCTTGTGTTTGGCCTTGAACACTGCGTGATTATATAAGTACTTGGCTTTCCACCATACCATTACTTTTTGCTGCCTAAAAATGCAATGCAAAACGGGTCAAGGCTTGTACACTTCTGCTTCTGAAGGCTTCTGGAACAGAAACTACTTCTGAAAGCTTCTCAGTCTACTGGAACATGGCTTCCACAAGTCTCAGCTACGAACCGCAAGATTTGAAGAAGTCTACCTACTACTAGGCACCTGCTCAGAACTATTAGATTCGCCACTGAAAATGTTCAGCATCATTCCATGATAAAAAACAGACGGGAAAGCAAATTCATTCGACTTTCCGAAGATATATTTACCGGACATGTGCCGTAGTTTATATCCCTTTGCCGCATCTAAAGCCCACTTGTAAGAGCCACAACGTGGGAAAGTGCCACAACACGCGCGTCCGTTGTAAAAGCTCTTTGTTTTGCAGAGCAAAGCAAGGAAAAAAGACATTTAAAGCAAATGGACATGCCGACCGCGGGGTTTTGATTACTATTAGCCCATTGGCCCAATGTCCACCGTTTAGCGCAGCTACGGGGCAGATTGCTTGGCCTATGGAGACTGCAACGCCGGGCGTCAAGGTTGTCTCTAAGAATTGCGAGCGCGTGTGTTCAAAACCATGTTGCATTTTTTTCTGAATCATCAATTCTGACTGGATGTTAAACGTTTTAAGCCAAACATGTGCTAGCCATGCAATGCAAATTTTGGACTTCATTTCGATCTACAATCTACGTTCAGGAGGTCCTCAATATCACTGAAGAACACAGCAAAAATCAGACAAAGCCTCTGAGTGCTATCGGTTTAAAAAGAGTCAACTGAACCTTTTTAAAATGAAGAGCGCCGTTGATTTGGCCATGTTGTCGTTAAACTCATGAATTTTACAATGTACTGACTTCCAAATGCAACTTAAGTTCAACTCGCAGTTGCCTTTCATTTCAGTTTCTGTTCTGGTTAGAGGGCAAAAATAACCATGACATGAAAAAACCGTGGCCCTCGTTACTAAACGACTTATGTCCAGCAGTTTTTGTTGTGGGGCGGCTTTTAACTGGCAAGGAGCCTTTGTCAACCCTGTGTCCCACCCCCTCCTTGGCAAGTGTTGTTAACAAGTGAGCTATATTCGGCGATTTTTTTGCGGCAAACCATCGGGGTGGGGGACCTCTGTTAACCCGGTGCCCCCTTGGCAAGGCTCTGACTAGGCCCCAATCTGCGTACACAAGCAGATTAAGTCAACTACGTTGAGTGAGGAGCAAATGAATGCCCGTTGTACCAATTTATGCCTATGACAGGCAGCTTCCCGAGAGCTTATTTCCTGCTGTGTTTTGGCGTAAGGAAAGATGATCCGGAAATACATATTATGGTAGGTGCCCAGTATATACCCTGCACATCATTAAGTAGCGATGCTGATCCATAAACATCCAGCAAAGCAGTCGTACGACCAGTTCGCAGTCGGTTATGCGGGGGCAGCCGGGTCTGGGCAGTGGCCGCCGACGGCGGGCGGGTGTAGGGCTCATATAAGGAAAATCTGGAGGAGGGGCTTTAATTCTGTGATTTGTTTTTTACAGGGGAAACTCGAGTTTTATGAATTGCCACTTTGTTTTTCGAAGTATTTGAATTTTTGTATTTGGGCACGATGTGTGTGCGCAGACTTCACCATTCAGAGATCCGCCGCACAGCCCGGGCAGGACGCAGACTTCACCATTCAGAGATCCGCCGCACAGCCCGGGCAGGACGCAGTGCACATTGGGACGCTCTGAGGAAATAGTGTATGGAAGTGCACAAGTGTAAACACTTTATTAGATGCGTTTTAACAGATGCTTCGAATGCCTGGTATATCGATTTGATCATCGCTCCATGTATCGATTCCACTGCCGCATTGTCAAGTATTGCAATACCTTCAGTCAGTGGGGATAAGGGAAGTATTCGGAAATGCCAGTATTGCGAGTACATGCATTTTGAGTCACGAGGACCGCTCCTTGTGCTAACTCTCGTCGGTTGGTCGGGCCCCATTCTTGTATGTGCGGCAAATGACACAGCTAGCCTAAATCCAACGCGTCAATGGCAAATGATTTGCCAACCTATATCCTAACCATACGCCCGTCTTAGGAAGCCTGATTCTTTCAGCTAACGTTTGGGAGGAAAGTTGTATGTATGACTTTAATATCATAAATTTCTTTCAAATCATCGTCCTTCGTATGCACATTTTTAACGGCGAGTTATTTACTTCCGTTTATCACACCTTGGTAGAGCTAGTTTCCTGTCTTAAAAACAGACCACCTAATGCAAATATTTAAAAACCGATACGGTTCTCCAGTCAGTGTGAAAGCCACCGCTGCACATGGGAAACAGCGATCAACAACAGCTATGCATCGGTAAATATGTGAAAAATCGTGGCTCCAGTTGCATTTGAAGTGATCGACACCGGGCAACGGGATAACGTAACGCATCGATCCCCTTCTAGGAGCATGAGAGTGTCAGGTACCAGCCACTCGGCGGATGGCTTTCCGATGTCATGCAGCGCCCAAACATGTCCCATGGGCCATCGGCCAGAGGCGCACCACGTGTCACCTGCCGGTCATCGCTCTTTCGATGACAAGGTGATTTCTGCAGCAACCGGGCGCGCTCGCAAGCAGTGTTGCGAATGTGACGTGGGCGTGCGGTGTGTGGTTTGTCGCTGGCACATACAGTCGTCCCCCAGTCGTTGCTGTGATCCTTTCATCTGAGGTCAAGTGAGGAATGGAGATGAACGGGAACGGAAGCTTGGCATACATGAAAAGCATCGAATAATGTGTAACAGACAATACCGTCCTGGTACACAACATCACATTTTGCCCTGTTGCTCGTTGCTTTTATGTATCTTTTGGTCAGCATAGTATCTTAGGTAGCGAAAGCTCACAGTTGAAATGAAAGTACAGAGCTGAAAGTTTTTGAGAGTAGGGAAAGGCCCGATGATGTAATACGATCTATTTGCCATTGGAAGCTCTGGTGACTTCCCAATTGGCAGGTTTCTTTAGCGTGATGATATTTAACTCTCACCCCCGCCCCCCCCCCCCCCCCCTCCCTCCTTCTCTAAGCCAATTAACTGGTAGAGTTGGCTGAGAAGCCAAATTTATTCCAGGATCGCACGATCCCAGCGAATTTATGAGCCAATTTCGCGAGGAGTCCATAAAACAAGTGCTTCTGTTATGTCCCCAATGGGTAGTCACCCGGTTTCATAAATCCCACGTGACTTAGGACAAGGGATATCAGGCAGGTTGAGCTGATTTCTCATAAAGCAGCCACACCCAGAACTAAGCCCGTATGAACATGGGACTGACTAAGAAACCACTTAAGCACGTAATATCGGCATGTTTGTCTTCGCACATATGTATCACTCCGTTTTAAACTGGTGCAGAGTGGCCTTTACTCCGATTTTTGTCACGACGCTTCTCAAAATTTGCTGAGAAATTATGAAAATTTTAAACTACTTGCTCTGGGCCTTCCCGAGATATAACACAAATATCAGGAACATCGAGTATATTTGTTAATTACCGGCGATGATTCATGACCCACAGGCATCTGTATATTCACAGGCACCTGCTGGTGGCTTCCGACAAAACCTGGCACGAGTAAACAAAACGAACACACATGATTGATTAGTTGTTATGAACAATATTCCAGCGTATCCCACGTTCAACATGAAATTCAACACCGAACATCATTCTAAGTTTATATGCAGATATCACGTTGCTGGGTGCCGGTATAAAAATAGTTAAATTCATCACGAACAACCTCGAGGCTGCCTTCTTGGCCAATATGACAGCGGGTAGAAGGTACCACGCAGACATGCATGACATACGACTATAACACTGTAAATGTTGGTCCACAGCGCCCCGACTGGCGTCGGTTACGTCTAGTTGGCAGAGCGAGAGAAAGCCACTTAATACGTCATGTCGCCGTGGAATTAGAGGGCAGGACAGCACTGGTGTGGTCCCTGTTGAGAGCTGAAACATTGATGGGTGTTCTGCGGTCGCCGATGCTGCTGTGCTCCAGGTCAGCCCTCCGGCCCAGTCGGCAGCTATCGCTGAGCATATCAGTGGGATGGCTACCGGCTTCGGACCGCAAATGGATTGGGCGGTGGCTTCTGGGCCCAACCCCGTAGCTTCCGGGCCTAACCGTTGAACACGAGGTCCCTGCGACTTCCGGGCCCAGCCGCTGAGCACCGGATCCCAGTGGCTCCCAAGCCCACCGGAGGGACACGGAACCTCTCGGGTCTCCGAGCGCTCCGACGGAATACGGGGTGTGGGCGGTCACTGGCGCGGGGCAGAGCGGAGCGTCTACGTGGTCTCCGGGTCCGGTCGTCCGCTGCTAAGTCGGTGCCAGCGGTCGTGGCGGGTGTCCACGTAGTTCAGAGCGTCGAACCAGTGGCGCAGCAGAGCGCCGCAAGAGTCTATGCTCAGACTCAGGCCGCCTGTCGGTGGACCAGGCAACGGCGTTAGACGCACTCGGGGAGGCCAACTATAACGTACATGGGAGACGGGCGCCCGCAGCAGAGCGCCGCAAGAGTCTATGCTCAGACTCAGGCCGCCTGTCGGTATACCAGGCAACGGCGTTAGACGCACTCGGGGAGGCCAACTATAGCGTAAATGGGAGACGGGCGCTCAGACTCAGGCCGCCTGTCGGTGGACCAGGCAACGGCGTTAGACGCACTCGGGGAGGCCAACTATAACGTACATGGGAGACGGGCGCTCAGACTCAGGCCGCCTGTCGGTGGACCAGGCAACGGCGTTATACGCACTCGGGGAGGCCAACTATAACGTACATGGGAGACGGGCGCTCGGTATGCGGCGCATAACAAGGTTGAATGGCTCCCATGTCCTACGTGCAGTGATCCATTGGGTGATCTCACGGCTTCATTTACAGCAAAGTCAGGGGATTCTCTGATGAAGGCTCTGTTGTAAAAACTTAACAGCTAACGTGTTTTGGTTCGAGAAAGATGAGACATCTGAGATTGGCCCCGACATCAAGGAAAAACAGATAGGTTAGGCTGGTAGTTGTATGAAACAGCTCCATAGCTGTTTTAGCATATAGCATAGCAAAGCTCCAAAGGTTCCAAACGCAATTAGGAGCAGTTTCTTGCAACTCGTGCCCTATTTATTATTATTTTTGCAGCTGCTCGCTCTCCAGTCGTCTTCCGTCTGCTGAGCATCACTTTCAGACTCCTGCTACGTTTCACCTTCAGACTTCAACAAGGGCAAATAGCGTATTTACAGCGCTATACACCATGGTGAAGTGTACGCATTAATACGCACGATTGGGGATAAGGAAAAATTCGGATGAAGCCAGATGCTTCCCACTTCATTGTCGGGTCCTGGCAAATCTTCCTATTCTAACATTTTCCTATTCTAGCGAGCAGGAAAAATAGTCTCCGGAAAGATTTTTACCAAGGTGCCCATGTTCACAATTTTCATCGCAACGAAGTTACCTCACATCGACAGGACTAAACGGCTACAAAGCTAGTATGATGATGCTAGGGCTGCAAAATGCCAATTTTATATCTATGCCTCCGTGCCTAGATATTAAGGCTCGATTTGGAGGTGATTTAAACATCACCAACTGTCTGCCAACCTATGGATGTTAAAGTGATGTACATTACCCTACAAGTTTTTACTACTTACTATTACCAGTGGACAAAATATATTTTTTCAGAGAAAAATAAAACTGTTATGACTTTGTAGCGCGAGCACGACAACGCGACAACTTTTATTTCTCAGGTGCAATTGCCATTTTCACTTGCCCTGTGTCAATGGTCATCACGTGTTATCCTACGTTCACCGTCGTATTTTGCAGAAACTTGAGATTACAAATCGGAATAGGCTTGCAAAGATGCATATATTTTCCGTTCATCGAGCACATTGATGTATTTGGTATGTAAGTGCCTTGTATGACGTCATTTCACAATTTTTTATCCGTTACCGCAATCGACAGTGGGATTTGCTCTTCGACGCCTAGCTTCCAACTTGGGAAAAATTAGATTAAGGCATTTTTCTCTGTTCTCCGCCCCAAAATTTAGAGGAATAAAAACGAGCCTTAACCCCTCTCAAATTACAGGAATAAACGGATTGTTCCTCAAATATGTCCAGCTTTCTTCTCAAAGTTGAGGGGAAGGGGCTAAGCTCCCCCAGCTGAATGGGAAGCTTGATACCTGTTATATGTGTTTACGTCTCACGTGGTCGCCGCCATGGGGAGTATAAAGAAACGTGAGACAAATCGCATATGCGTTGACACGCATGCACAACAATAACGAGCCTGGCGAAGACAAAGACATACTGGGAAGCGTTTTTGTGGCATTTGTCCACAGACCTCGTCAGCTTACCGAACGCCAGGCGGGATTTGTTACATTTCCCCTGATTGGTTGGTGGTGATGTGTTCCCTTCTCGGGCTGCTTCCATGGCGGAGCGCCGCGTGAACTCTTGGATCGAGCGGCGAACGATCGGAATAGTTTGGATCCTAGGATTTGCTCCGTGTTTGAAGTCTTGCATTTTATAATGTAAATACTTGAGAGCTCGGAATATGACCCGGTAGGCATCCTTTCGGACACACTAATTGCACTAATTAGTGCGTGTTTTCTGCTGCATAGAGCGGGTAGGAGATAGTCTCGCGTAGAGATTGCCCTCAGCGCAGAGCATACCGATGAAATCGTTGCTCTTGCTGATATCCTTGTCGTAGACGCGAAGGTCGAGGACGCGGCGGGGCAGATCACAGCGACGACAGGCAAAGTTGAACTCCTCGTTGAACTTGGGGCTGGGGCTCTTCCAGCGGATGCCTGTTTTGTACTTGGCCCCCCTCGGCCGCAGTTGCCTGTGGGTGCCGCCGGGATAGTTAGCGTTCGCTCTGGCATGACTGGCGTACAGAGCGACACGTCCCGTCGGGTGACAAATCGCTCGACAAACACCTCACACACAGCTAATGCTCGACTGGGAGGGGATTTAGACGATCGTGGTCAGTGAGCAGACATGGAAGGGGGTCATGCGTTCAGCTATCGCGGGGAGCACTTCGTGGGAACGTTCAGCAGCGACGACGCGGTATTTCTTTAGAGTCCGGGAAATGCAGCCGGTTACGTGTGCGCAAAGTCGCTCAACACAAGTTGTCGGAAATGATGAATAATTTTTCCCAAGCCTGCTGGAGAAACGAAACTGAAGATATTGTAAAGCGCTCGTGCAAAGCCATTAAACATCAGCGTGTGATAATGGCCTTGTCGGGAAACTAGCGCCTTCGTTGGAGAACATTGAAGGCCTCACGTGGAACTGTAAGCGATCATTTCATTCGCTTTAGCCGGTCAGTGACCAGCGCTACTTAAAGCACGCAGGGAGCAGTAGGAACTATCCGACTATTTTTCATGAGTTTCTCCGGTGTGAATGCGCAGATCTGTACATTTTCTTGTCTACCCACAAATTTAACCCTAGCGCGACGTTTAAAGCAAGGAAGAAGAAAATCGACTAGAAAATTGTGATATTACAGGTAGACAGAACCAACAACGTAGCCACCGTCTGAGCGTGAGAATGGCTGCTGATGCACTTCCGGTATATCTGTAGCAATTAAATATTCCTGACAGCCATGACTGTTTGTATGCACATTGCCATATGTTATAATGCAAAGGTCATGTTGGGTCAACGAAGTCAATTCAGGTCAAGTTCATGATAAGCAATGGGGCCAAACTAGGTCGGCATCACAGCAGTCTGCAGTCATGCAGTCTGAGGGTGCAAACAGCAGTGAGGTGAGCACCCTTGTATGCCCTGAGAAAGTGCCAGCTTGTTTGCCAGCATCATCAGCTATTGCACTGACACCGCGCATGCTGCGCAAGTGGCCATAGTGTTTCCCGCAGTGTCTGATGATAAAGCCTTACTAGTCAAGACGTACATTGCCGATGTTTCTCAAGGGTGTGCCGGTAGTGTAGTGTTTGAAGTGTCTGCATTAACTACTACACTACCAGCACCATGGTGGTTATCGCGTCTGCGCTAACCACTGCGCGCCTGAGAAGGCAGAGGCACGGGTTCTATTCCCAGCGGTGCCCGCCCCCCCTTCCAGAGTGAAAGGCAGGCGACGCCACATAGCCTCAGCAGCTAATGCGTCGTAAAGCCTCAATGGAACATTGACGTTTCTCAAGCAATCTGTTTTAGCTTTACATGAATTAAGAAGTATATCAAAGCCGAGAACATCGTCTAAAAAAGCCATCTGAGCTTATAACGATTCTGCATTACGAGTATCAGGTCAGCCCTCATGACAACAACTTTTGAATGTGCACAAATTGGTTAGCAATGGTCAGTACATACTTGCAAAACTTGTGAGCACTCTTGCGGTTCTGTCCTCGGAAAATGCACTCCTTGACATCCGTCATAGATTGGGGTACACGGTACATTTTCATTGCATCGTATTCGTAGCGATTCACGAAGATGACAGTCTAAGCCATGCAAAAACATGCAAAAATTGACATGTCTGACATCATTTGACATCTTAATATATTGTTCTAGGGTCATGCCTTTTCACACAACGTAGTTCCATGTAGCTTCCACATAAGATCGGAGTTTCGTTACTCTATCTCTTACGGTTCTCGAGATGGTAGGAGAGGGTGAGATCCGCCACCCGCCCCCCCCCCCCCCCCCTCTCCTCCACTGTGCGCAATTTTCAGAGGCTCTCCACTACGCGGCTTGAGCAAAGTGGCACATCTGATATTTCCCCCGCCCCGCCCCCCGGATCCCATGATCTTTCATGAAGCTCCCAATGACATAAAGCGACTGGCGTCTTGCGGGCAGCACGCCTCATGTACTTGACAACTCCGAAAGTTATTGATCCCAATCCCAGCTGCAGCTTTCGAACGGGCTGGCCACTGACCCGTCCAGGGCATCAAAACTTACCGCAACTCGGGGTCACGCCTTGAAGCAACTCACACTTTGACGAAGGGGTCTGGGATGCCGTTGCCGTCGAGGGCGGGCAGCTCTGCGCACCGCACCACGCCCACCACCAGAGTTTGCCGTGACGTCACGTATTTCAGTGACAACAATATCCGGCCCTGGGGCAGCTCGGCGCAGTCGTCATATGCGCCCTAAAAAATGCAAGTATTTTCAGCGGCTGGTGAAGCGACCTGACCGGCTTCAGCCACCGATATATGGCTCGGGTGCAATCCGCGCACGGCATGCTTTGCATCGCAATTGACCGCGTGGTATATGCAATCAAGCGGGGCGGAATGATGTATGGCGTCGGCAGGAAAGCGTAACTCAGGCTGCGCCCAGAACTTCAGCTGCTTGTAAATGTATACAAATGGCAATTTTTCGCGGCGCCTGACAGGAGGACGGCGCGGGAATGTCTTGTGTTCATGGTCACTAGCTAGCTATTGCAATGGAACGAACACATAGTTCGAGCGAATGCTGTACTTTACAATGTTGCTTTCCGTCCGTAATACCTGAAGGACAAAGCACCTGGTCCGCTAAAGTGACGATATTCTTTAGCGCGCAGATGTCTGGATTTCCATGAACAGGAAGTCATATTTTAGAAATCTAGCTCTACCCAGGCATAACAGGGATAGCAGGCATGGCAGGCATATTCAGGCATAATAGCAGCATGGGTTTCACTGTGGGCTGCTCACTGGTGTTAATCTTCAGCGAACACCAAAAATACAGTGAAGGGGCGTTGTGGAATCACGGTTGGCTACATGTCTGGCAGACTTTAAACGGTTTGAGTGCAAAACAAATCCATGTCGTCCAGCCAGAATGTTTCAGAGCAAATTTTCCACGAGCTCAAAGCTTTGAAGTCTCCCAAATCTGACCTGACGCAGCCTTGCGCTGCGTCAGGACCTGCATTTCACAGCTGAGTGCCCGAGTAGCAAACGGAAATGAGGGGCCCATCGACCGCGAACCTGTACCTCACAGACGGGCGTCAGCGTCTTGCAGAACTGCAGCAGCCGATGAGGCGTCACTTCGGAGAGCCGAAGCTGCGTCTCTCCCAGCACGTCGTGACCGTACGGATCCTCGTCTGCAGGCAACCGCGCACCTGTTACTGCTGGTCTCTTCGCAGTCAGTCACGCACCACTTGAGTCGCTATTGTGTGAACGACAGCAACACCTCTGAAACGTTCATAGAATCAGGTGACTTGCTTCACCGAGGCTTGGACTAACTTTGGTGAAGCCAGCGTGTTGGCTGCCATAACTCACTACTGACGTACTTGCGTAGAAAATGACATTTTTCTGACTGAGCGTGTCCGAGTATTTCTGCAGACGTGGCGTTGAGCACCGCGGGACATTTAAACTAGCAGAAAACTAAGCCCAAAATAAGGAAAAGGTATTCCTTTGTCATCATCTGTACGGGCGTGGCCGGTTAGCCTGCTGCTTGAATTCAGTGGTGCTATGTATGCATGTGGTGGCTACATGTCGTTATACCGTGTCTTTGCAAGGTTTCAGCTTTCCCGCATCATCTGAACATGTTTTCCGCAAACGCGAACTCGAAATGCGCATTGTGTACATTGTACACCAGTCACCAGTTGCAACTTTTTTGGGATCTGGCAGCTTCGCACGGAAAAGACGTGGAAAAGACTGCAGAGGTTAATAATAAGATGCAGTGTCAACATTTCGACGACGTCCATCATGCGCTATGAGGGTTGATCAGCAAAGTATAGCGCTGTGACGTCCCCCCCCCCAAAAAAAAAATCCCTCAGAGCTTAGTGCTCTTCATCATGTCTATCTACATCTCCGCCCGTGGGAGGCTTCCTGCCGTCTCCGTCCTGGCAGAGTTGTTGTGCTGGTCACACGCCGTGGGCGGACGGAGGCCTGGGAAGCGTCCCGCTGTATCAACACGCCAGGCGGGCAAATCCATCACTTGACAGTGGAGATCCCCTCCCGGTCCCGAACCTTTGGTTAAACGATGAATAGGATGCTGGAATAAAGTTTGCTTAGAAATACAGGGCGAAGCATGTTTGGACCATTAATATGCGTCGACTGATGGATCACCGCGGTCCGGTTTAGACCCTGTCATTTTTCGGTGTGAAAAGAGTGCTGCTGCATAGGGCTGTCCATGAAGATGGACCCTGAACCGAGAAGCATAGCCCCATTCAGAATGATTGAGTTTATATTTTCACCACATGGTGTGCGGATACCGCAGCAAGTGTGAAAATACAAGGAATATTAGCCAAGAGCATAGCCCATTGCTTCCGTTTCAGGTTCATGTGTAAGACATACACTATAAGCCTGTCGATGCATTGGCCTCCGTGTGGGGTTAGACCACAAGTGATGCATGTTTTATTCCCGAACACACAACACGCATTTTGTATTGGCACGCTGGTTCCGGTCCATTCAGATCCAGGCCCATCAATGGCGGCGGATGATGCCTGCTGCGACCATGAAGGCCACGGGCTGCCCCGAGCAGCTCGTCCTATGGACGGGTCAATGAATAGACCAGCCTTACCGAGCACTGAAAGGCGCAGGGAGCTGTTCACCACCACGTCGGCCGACACGTTAAAGTAGGTGAGAGTCTCGTCGAACTCAGCGTCACCCGAGCCGGACACCACCTTCGTCCGCAGTTTGTTGGTCTGAAGGGTCGGCAGAGCGAACTCAGCGCGGTCGCGCAGGCGTTGCGTGCATGGTACGTGGATACCCGCGCGAGAGCTGACAATTGTAAACCCTAAAGTGAAGTGAAGTGAAGGTTTATCATTTGAAGACATTGAAGCAATGATCAGTCATGATGACATAAGCTTACTTATAGCTATTGGTGTACTTTTAAGTGGAAAAGGCTGCTCTAGACAACACACTATCACTGTTAAGCAAGTGTGCTTCTCAACACCTCTTTTTTTATTACGTCATCGTGCCTTGCACAACACTGATTGAGAGACAACTCGCGGGAATTAAACCTGGAAATCGTGCTCACTAACGCCAGATAAAAATAAGTCGGCATCTTGGCAGCTTATTTGTATTGGCCTTGATTACCGCATGGACAACTGAATAACAGGATTTAAATGATGTTCTTATAGTGGCATTAATGCCTTAGTGATCTTAAAATAGTCTCCTCGAAATAGTCTGCACATATTCGCAGGCGTGCAGCTCAGAAATTAAAACGGTTTAAGCCTCAAGAAGGGCAGGGCTGTGAACTGTACCGAACGGTCTTAAAGATGGCTATTTCAGTTTTTTAAATGACCCAATTTCGACGAAACCGTCACTTACCGCGACTGCATATGTTTGCATCGCGCCATCAACGTGCCTGATGGGCACGGGCTATCAGTGGGCTATGATGGGCTGTCAGTACCCTGATCAGGCGCCGATCTGAACTATCTCAGCGGCACACTAGAGCCACCGATGGCGAAAGTGTACCGCAGACCACCGCTGCAAAACACCCTCGCTTAGCGTGCGTGAAAAGGGCATTCCCCTATCGAGCCGTGGCGGTGTGGAATCGCCTCCCTGCTGCCACGCCCCAGTGTAAAAGCTTAAATGAGCTCAAGGGCAAAGCAATGTCTTTCATCAGGGAACTTACCTAAGTTGACCAACTGGGCATGACGTGCAGGTGCTCATTGTATCATTAGTCGTTCATGTTTTATAACATCGCATGTGTATTGCTAGCGTTGCGTCCCATTTGCATGTGTTGCGTGTCTTGTGTTTATCTATGTGACATGTACTGACGCGGCGTTAGAATAGCCACTCGCTAGGTTTCACCAAGATTCGCAATAAAAATAATACTAAGAACAAACTCATACAAAGGTGGAACTCTACCTTCAAACGCAAAAATAATTTCGGGAACATTTCCACTTCATCCGTGCTACTAATCACCGATGCTGGTGGACATTCAAGCTGTCCAGCTGCAACGTGAGTAACTCCTACTAAACCGGTCGACGTCCCCCACTGTATTGGCTCACAGTCTTAGGGACCAGCCAAAGAGAGTTTTTATCTAAGGCAACATCAATCCCCAGAAGAGACACCGGCCATTTACTTCGACGAAGTTAAGGAACTATGACTGCGACACGTTTCACTCCTGTTCACATGAAAACATGTAGCCCACTTGCTTACTTCTCTGACACTCGCCACCACATGTGACGAGTGGTGTGATGTTTCTGTTGCAAGAACTGTCAATGATTCGGAATAAACATGGCGGGTACTTTCCTCGTAGGTCTCCATACATTTCACTGGACTTTAAAAGCTCTTCACAATTACTTGACGTGGACAATGGATTCACGAGCATTTTACAGTCGCCAGTTGTGCCACAAGGAAGTATGTATCTTCTTCTCTCAGTTGTTATGCTTCATAGGATAGTTTCCCATTCGGCTGGAGGAGAGAGGGGAAAGGGCTTTAGCCCCCAAATGGGATTCTGGTCCCCCCACTTTAAGAAGAAACTGAACCAAACCTGGGGAGCAATGCATTTGCTGGAATATTTCACAGGAAGCTTTCGTCATTTTCGCTGTTTATCCCGCCCCCCCCCCCCGTTCCCTATCCCGTTTGGCTGAGTTGGTCAAGGGGGGGCCCTTCACAAACTCAGCCAAACTCAAACTTGAACAGGCGCGTCAAGCCACGACCAGATTTGGAACGGAGCCGCACTTTGGGATCTTAAACTACCTTTAAGTTTAAAGCGTCAGCTGAACGTAATTGAGGACATAAAACTTCAAGTGAGGATTAAGAAACGATTTTCGCACTTTCGAGGGACATTAGAATTGTTCTGCAGTGGTGCTAATCACAAAAGGCTTTAGCACAAATTCGGTGGCTAGTTCATCTTCGAGCTTCACTAACTCTAAAATAATGCTTGCATTGAAGACATAAAACACGGCACGTGACACCGAAAATCTGGTTAAAAAGAACGCGACGCACATTGCCACGCGCTCCTGTGTGGAGGACCGACTGCACTATCGGTCCGAGCCATGACATAACCGGGATTCGAACTCAAGCCTCCACGTGGAAGTGTTATGCGTTAACCACTTGGCCATGATGTTCCCTTTAATGATTGTCGTCTTTTTGACAAAATGCACGCATCTAAAGCCGGAAAATGCACGTGACTGTCGAGCTGGAAAGAAACAAACGCATGTACTATGCACCCTGTGGAAACATATTTGATGCGAATGTACAGAGATGTGAAGGCATACATTTGGACGGCGAGAATGCATTTAAATGAGTTGATGATTGCGTTCGAATACATTGCGATGCGAAATGCTTTCGATTTGCAACCCTTTAAAGCATGCAGGTTGAATACAAGCTTGAGGCAACGGTTATCCTTCTTGGGTGAGCGCTATGCATTCCAATCATATGAACTCCGTAACCTTGCTCAGCGCAATGCATCTGAGGCGATGCTATGAGGCAATTTAAACACCGGTCTTCTTGGGAGAGTTCGCGATGAAGTGAGCAAACTTGCAAGCTGAGGGAGCTTTCGAGCCCTTTAAATCATCACCAAAGGCGCTAAACACTACCCTGAAATACGGGATGTGTTGTAACACGGACACGCGGGACGCGTGTCACACGTGAGGCACGTGTGACAAAAAGCGGCACGACCACGCTAGCATCCCGTCTACACCTTATGAACTAAAACGTAGGCGAACGTTTACTTCGAGATCTCGACATGGGTGGAGGTCGTGCAGGAATATGTGTATTTCGACCGACCACGCATCTTGATACATCAGAGTAATGTTGCATTAAGTCTGGCGTTTCAATGTTCCAGACATAGTGCAGGCATCTCAAAATACCGCTAAAAGGTAACAGCTTGCCAGACTTTAGTATACCTTCAGCAAACCCGGGACGATGTGGAGCTTGACGTAGCTGTTGATAGTCTCGGCGCCGACTGAGGAGCGCAAACCCTGCCGACCAGACGGGAAAACAGCGCTATTGTCTCAGTACAATCGTCGTGAGGGAACAGACATATATGCCTCTTGGCGACCCTACGCTAAAAACAAACTACTTGCCCAGATGTACAGTATAAGACATAGCTCGTTAGGACCTTTAAATATTATTGTTAAGCGTTATTGTAGGATAGGTTACGCATTACGCAAGGGCCGTTAGGATCCATCACATAGCATTGTTGCGCATCCCAGGCTACATTCATGTCACAACCGAAGCTGAAATGCAACTGAATGCTGAAATGGATTTCAAGCTCCGCTAGGTCTGACACTAATGATGTGAGAAATAGGTACCACGCTCCGTCCCAGTCAATGCAAAATAATGCACCATAAATGCAGATAATGCACGATAATGCACCATACAAACAAATGCAAATAATGCACCATAACGCCGAATGCCTCTGAGGTAGGCGAGCTCCGCAACCCGCATTCAGGACAGCTGAGTAGCCAGGTCAGACTGGGCAGGTCGGACTGGGCAGGTCAGACTGGGCAGGTCAGGCTGGGCAGGCGATGTTAGAAAGTGGCATGCCACATATCCCGAGGGCGAGATTCACCTTGACCTTGTGGACGCAGCAGTGTATCGACTCGGCAGTGGAGTCGATGACCAGGGAGAACTCCACTGTTCTCAGAGGAACTGCGATAAAGACATCGCTTATCAACAGTCGGATTTGCCGTCGAAGTGTTGCTACCCAGCATGCATCGATGCGTTTGCATTGAAGGGTGAGGTCAAACATCGCACCACTTTATTTACATTTTTGTTCTGTCTTTAGTGAGCGTTGCGCCCACCACGCTGCTGGAAATGCCTGCCTGGAACACAGTCAATGCCCAGCCGTCTCCTCCGGGGGCCTCACTGGGGCGGAACGGAACGTATGAACGGCGCACCGAACCGAGGTAGGTGTTACCAGGCGTTATTATTAAGCAATACGGGCAGTAGACCAAGCAGCAGACCGAATGGGACAGCAGAGCGCGTGTAACGATTACGCTGTAGCCTGATGACGGTGAGACCAACATACAGCATTGCATTTCGAACAACACAAGGTTGGAGGCAGGTTGAAAAATGACGTCAACGGTTAATGAGCAATCATTCTGGCTGCTGGTATCATGGAAGACACTCAGTGCATCATTAATGCAAATAATAGGATGCCGGTGCCGGTAAAGGGTCACACAGTCATCGTTAAGGGCGACTCGGAGAAACCCTTGACCATCTTTGGGCTTAACTACCAATTATTCTCAACTGGGCACTAGCATTCATTTCCTTCGGACGGCAAGCAACCTCTACAACAATACCAAATGGCCGTTGCGAAGACAATAGTCGTCATGGCAACAGTGCACCTCCAGACACGGCAAGTCTCTCCCTGTGAACATCCAATGGCTGCCATCGTAATGATGGGCAGGCAAAACCAACATGTTGGATTGGAGGATGGCACACCAATGACTTTGCGGACGTGTTCGCTTTCAGACGATTCTGCGCTTTCTTTCCCGTGAGACGTAAATGGGCCTATAGAGCAGCAGCAGTGCAAAGCGACTGCGCACAATCCGCTCTGTTTCAAACGCGCGGAGCTACGTACAATTCTTACCTTGGCCGTGGGTGGCAGCGGAAGAGCGGCGACCGAGGCGGGAGTCGTCCACCCACGCGCACCGCTCCTGAACCACTGGTGTACTGGCCGAGAGAATGTGAGTTAGGGCAGTGGCAGGACGTCAGCAAACGCACAGAGCAGGTCATCACGACCGGCAGTCTCTCCCCCCCCCCTCTCTCTCTCTCTCTCTCTCTCTCTCTCTCTCTCTCTCTCTCTCTCTCTCTCTCTCTCTCTCCTCTCTCTCTCTCTCTCTCTCTCTCTCTCTCTCTCTCTCTCTCTCTCTCTCTCTCTCTTTTTCTCTCTGTCTTTCTCTCTCTCGCCGTCGCCTTCCCTATCTCTATTCCATGTCAATCTCTTGCTCAGCGAGGTGTGGTAATATCCGAATATTTTCCCGTGTTGGCATTAATTTTTTTTTGACGGCAACGGAAAATCCGACAAGTTGTGAAAACTGGCGAGAAGTTGAGTCGATAGATCATTTGTATACACCACTGATGGCGATCCAATAATTAAAAATCATATCTTATGCTGCTAGAGGCACATTATTACAACTGTCATTCCACCATAAATGGCTAAAGGAAAGCACCTTACGTTCCGCATTTCGACGGAAATGCTGTTATCTTGTTTTTTATGACCTGCACTCGGCAGTTTAATTCCCTGACAAGTCGAAACAGCGATCAAGGAGTTATAAAATCACCACGTGTTAGTGGTTCTTATTACGACAAAAGATCGTATTCAATGTGCCGAAAGGTGTTAGTCAAACGGACGTTATTAAGTAAGCATTTGCTGTATTGACCAAACCTGACCTTTCAAAGTGTGCTCATAGCCATGAGAAATACTCGTAGTCATGATCACAGCTCGAAACGTGGAGCTTTATCAATAAAGCCGCATTGATTCATTCGTGATTGCTCCATAACGTCGCTTGACCAGTTTCTCCTGGTATACTGAAGGCTAATCATTGTCAGAAAAAGAACTCCCAACTAATGATTCTGAGCTACGGCTCAAGGCCTGGCTTGCCTACATCGACACACAACTTCAGGCACTTTTGATGGGGTGCCAGGCACGCATGTCTTCGAGACATGTAATATAATTAAAAGTAACCTATACAGTACAAAAGGCAAAGGCAAAAAGGTTGAATCCTCAATGACACTCTGCGCCTTTTGACAATTTCAGTTTGTCTGCCAAGCATGTTTAATCCCCGTCCTACAAGGGGATCTCAGATGGCTCTAAGGTTATCTGGAATGCCTTTTGAACGGTGTTGAACATGAAATTGAAATCCGGTCCGGCTGCGCTTACTTCATATGTACCCTAGGGCACACCACATGCATTGAATACGCATCCTGCCACGTAGCGTCCGGCTGCTAGGGCGGTCGGCCGACCTTAAACCGCGGACGCAACAGTCACTGCTAAGATCATGACACAGATAACCGCTGGCAACAACGAGGCGAAGTGTGACAACGTTACACAAAAAGCGAGCGAAATGAACTATAGTTTACACGTTAATCATCAGGCAATATAATGTTTCCAGGATTAATTTGTGGGGTCTCACCCTAGGGAAGGAGGTGAGGGTCTTGCTCTATGGGGGCCTTGGAGGCCACCATAATGCTTTTCTCCTTGTCTTCTGAACGGTTCTGAACACCGCGAGGCAATTTTGTGCAGCTGGGCTGAAGTCGCTGGTACACACTTTGTGCGAATGTAACGTTTCTCGTCTTGACAATTCATGATTTATGACGTTTACCTTACGGTCATGTCGGAGCTACTTTGTTCAAAATTGAAACGTAACGCTTGTTTCTCAGAGGAAATGCACTCCAAAGGAGTTTGCTATACTATTTTCTTAATTTCGTTCTTTTGAAATGCATACTATCATTACAGCTGCTTTTGCAAGATTACGTCATACAAAGTCAATGTAGGTCAAACTCGGACCTTTGAGACCAGACATGCATGACCTTTTGAAGGTAAAACAGTGAGAACCTACGACATATGACACTTTTAATTTTTTCAGCCTTTTTATGTATGTTAAACAAGAACGCTTGCGATGTAATATTTACCGTGTATTTTTACACCTATGAAAATAATCAAACAGCTTTGCTCCTGATTTTCCCACTTTTCGTGCATTTAAGACTTGACATCAATTAGGTCCATAGCTACTAAAACTAACAAGAAAAACTATGGCACGTACACATCGCTGGTCATTAACTGGTGGTGCGTTTTTACTCAAAATAACCGCGTGCCTATCATTTTATGCCATTTCATCCGCTGAAGACACCACTTATCTATCACTGGAGGTCATTGACCTGACGCAAACACACTACCTATCACTGAAGGTCATTGTCTTGACGCAAACACACCACTTACCTTTCACTGGAGTTCATCGTCCTGACGCGGACACATCACCTACCTATCACTGGAGAGCATTGTCCTGACGTGAACACACCACTTACCTATCACTGGAGGTCATCGACCGTTGTTGGTTGTCCCTTGCTGAACACAGCACGCTGGAACAACTTCTGCGAACCGGGCTGACCGCGCCTGTAAGCAATCACGCCGGCCAATGCACAGCTGGCAGTGTGGGCAGCTTGAAGCGCTCACTACGAGCATGGGGAAGAATCGATTCAAGCATTCAGGAATTCACACGTACTGAAGTGCCGCTCAGTCGGCCCAGCCAGCAGCAGCCAATATGTTATGACAGCCCCGGTGGCCTAGTTGGTCTGAGCGCCTGCCTTCCGATCCACCCACCCGTTGCGGGGCGGGTTCGATGCGCTTCAGGCGCTCGCTATTTGCTCATGACGGGAATGGCCTGCGGCTGGCGGCAGCGGCCGGGCTAAAGGTCAGTTGACGTCAGAGGGCAGGATGGACTGTGATCTGGGCATTCCGAACGTTAAACTTTCGCCACTAAATTCTGCCCTTGCCTGGAATTGCGCGGTGGGATGGTAGCGGTTATGGCTCACACAACAAGCACTGCTTAGCGCAAGCTCCGGTCACAGAAATCCGCCCATTCAAAGTATTTGTATCAGATCTTTAAAAAGCCCTTCTCTAATTGTAAAAAGAGGTGCTGTTCAATGTCTACTCTAACGTAATTCCATAAGCGGGGAGGAAGGGGGGGGGGGGGTTGCTCCACCCCGGTGGCAGCCCGCCGGACACACACAACGTTCACGTATCGCCATAGAGTCAATCCGGCGCACCAAAAGTCTCTTATTGCGCCATGAGCGATTTTTCCTGGAAAAAGTCAAGTGATCCTTAGATGATTTCCGACGAATCTGTGGGGTCTCTTTCCACACTGCGGGGGTTTGTCCATTCCATCTAATCTGCAGGCCCTTCCCGGTCATGGAGAACAATGAGCCCGCTACAGGAGAAACCTTTCGTCATAACTGAGCCACAGTTTCTGGTCGGGAGATTCAACTGATCAGAGTTCTTGGATGATCTGAGCCTACTTCAGGGCCTGCCATGTGTTCTAGCATGGCTACGCGTTAAGCCGTCGACATCACACCCCGTGGCCATGCACGTTTCAAGCATCGCCGAAGCTTGGCTTGGTCACCTTAAAGTTGAACACTAACAACACACCCAGTCGTGAACTCAAAATAAATGACTGTGTCAAAAGAAGGCGGCACGTAACGATGCCATCTACATACCGCAATGTACAACGTTTGACTTTACTTGGAAAGCGGCCGTAATGACGCGTGCCCAGATGCCACAACTGGGCCCTTCCATTGGTCGGAAGCCTGCAGCGACAGCTTCCTGACCCAGCTTAAGGTCACATATGCTTGGCTCACGAGGAAGTGGAGCTAGGGGCGGAGCTTCGTCCCAATGCAATCAGCTACATCCCCCCACCCCCACCCCCACCCCCAAAACCGAAGGAACCAGGGGTCTGCAGATGATGCAGATGTAGCTGCACCGCCTACGCTGGCCAGTGCCAACACCAGGTGCTGCGGCATGATTCGGGGTCTCTTGGATGGAGCGAGCGCTCAACCCTCGCTGGCAGAGGGAGGCTTGTCATGTACTGGAGCGGACACGCCGAGAGCACGTATGTCATTAGGGGATTCGACGTCATGTGAAGTATGACATGGGAGCTCAGCTGGCGCCACTGACTCTCACTGAGGCCGAGGATCGGAGTTTTTGCTGTTCGTGATGTCTGTTCCCAGACATTACTGGTGTCGCTGGGCTTTGCAGAACTCAGGCCCGTGGGTCAGCAGCTGCTACGGTCCTTGATGGACACAGACCTGTGGCTGTACAGCTGTTGCGGTCCCTGTTGTACCCAGGCCTGTACTCACACAACTGCCGTTGTTCCCTCCATACCCAGGCCTGTGACGTCACAACATCTGCGACCCCTCTAACACCCAGGTATGTGACGTCACGGTTTCTGCGGCCTCTAACACTCGGGCCTCTGACGCCACAGCTGCTGCGGTTCTTCTCTCAACCAGCTTGTGTCACCACATGGTTACATGAACAAAATTCTGTGTCTGTCTCGATGGCTCAGTTGCCTAGAGCGCATGCCTTCCGATCCACCCACTCGTAAAGGGGTGGAGTTTAAGTCTCTTTAAGTACTCGCCATTTGCCCTTGACTAGGATGGTCTGCGGCCGGTGGCAGCGGCTGCGCTAAAGGTCATATGACGTCAGAGTGTAGGGCGAATCGCGTCGATTATTGAGGCACGTTAACACGAGCCTGAGTGGCCGGTTGAAGGCGACGCACTCGAGTGGAAGTCTTTTCCCCTTGTGATCTAAAAAGGAGGAGAGCAAGAGACGCCAAATGCGCGGAGCGGGTAAGACTCTATGTGAACTCACTTGTGACAAATTGTGAGATTCTGACGTCATGAATTTTGAGTTCAATGAGTTCAAACGGGGTCATCTCCAGACCTGTGTCCGAATTGTCATCAGACCATCCCATGCAATCACCTTAAGCATGAATTCCTCTTCTTTCGAAATGAGAGCCAAGCAATCCATCATACGATGAAATGAAGTTCGACCTGAGCGTCGGGAACCACCCCATCAAGCAAGTTCCCAGTAAAAAGTAGTTTGGTTTTGACCTCGGTCTGACTTTCATACCAGACTTAAGCTCACTGGGACTAGTCGTAATCCTAAATTCAGTTGACTAATTGTCGAAAAACATCTTAAAAATACATGCCTTATTCTAACACTCTGTTGCCGCGTCAGATCAAACGATTGCCTGGGAAATACCTCTCCTGATAATCAAGGCCTGATTTTGATCTGCCATAGATTAGCGACTTTGCAAGTTACAGTTTGTTTGTCTTTTTAAATCGTTGATTCACGCTTCTACAACTGCACAAAGTTCAGCACGGCTAGGCCGTGCTGTTCGGAACTTAGCTCAGAAAAATATTAAACGGGTCAGATTGACACCCTGACACTCCAGTGCGTGCTAAGCTTTCGCCACCAAAGTCTGCTGTTGACCTGGAATTCTACATTCGGATGGTGTCGAAGCCAAGGCCCACTGCTTAGTCTGGGCTCTGATACCAGAAATGCATTCATTCAAAATGTTCGGACTTAATCTTAGAAAAGCACAAGAGTGAATACGAAAATTAGCACCTCAAGTAGTTGAAGAGCAGCATGACGCTTGTTAAGGCGTGAGACAAGCGAGGTCATAGGTGGCGCCATTTTATGACCACACAGAATATGCCTAAATGTAAGCGGACGGAGCCCGTCGCCTTGTGAAGGCCATAAATATGAGACTTGCCGATGCATTGGAAAATCCCGCTCTCATGAATTAAGCATGTGGGTGGCTTGGAAGTTTGGCTTCCGCAGACTAGAGGTATATCGCTAAAATATTGACTGGTTTGGGCCTACCGATGGTTGTCGATACTAATAGAAGTCAATTGATTGGAAAAGCTCAGATTTTTGGTGACTGTAAGAAAAATATTGGAGAGAATGATACGGTCGGATAAGTTGCTCACGATAAACTGGGATATCCGGCTATGTGGGTTGTATGGTCCGATCTGTGTTGGTCCAAGCAACAGCATGTTACATTTGAAGCCGGTCGGTTTAGGAAAAAGTGGCACTGGCTGATGTCCGGTCTCTGACTGACACACCTTGTCACGAGAGGTCACTCTAGCTGCGAGCCAACTGCGGATTGGTTCAAAGGGAGCATCCAATTTTTTGCACGTTTTACTTATTGTTACATCAGACACGTGCGATTTGATCACTAATACCAGTGTTCTCGAAATCAGTCTGAATAGTTCAGAATTTATATTAGAAGTAGCCATCCCTGCGGGTGAAATCTGATTTGACTCGCGATCACCACTATGTAAGTAATACACGTCGTTTGCCTTGCTTTTCCAGTTTTCTGCTCTGTAATGTTTGTAGCATACCAGTGTGTCAAAATGTCTGTGTAATAAGGGCTACGAAAGCTTAAAACACTCTGCGTAGGCAAAAATATATGCGAACATGAAGTTATTATCCCGTGACTTCAACGGAACATTATCCTATGGGTTTGATTTCGTCGCCATGACGTTTACCACAGTGGCTTTTTTCAGCCACACTTTGGCTTTGGGAATGGAGGTATCACATGACTCATGCAACGCACAGGCCCAAACTTCAACTAATGCGCTTCTCGGTAAAAGGCCCTTGACCCCTGAGCCAATCGTACACGTTCTTTTATTCGCACCAGCTGGAGGTGCGCACGGTGGTTGTCATGACGGCGGCAGTCGCGACTGCAGAGAAGAAGCGTAGTGCTGTTACAAAGCGCTGGCAGCGTAATTTGGAAACAAAAAAATCAACTTTGATATCCATATTATGTCTTGACGGTGGCGCAGTGGCACTACCTACTGCTGTTATCAGGCTGCTAATCTAGAGGTTCTAGTCCTGAAGTTTCACAGGAGTGTGTTTCTGAAATATGCCCCAAAGATGGGCTACTCCTCTTAATAAAATCTGTAATATATGCGTATGCATGTATGTATGTATGCACGCTTACATCGTAGAACTGAATTCACATCCACGCGTGCTCCGTTTGTCGAGATCTGACATCAATTCTTAGAAATGCTCCATGACAACCAGATCGCACGAGGCCGGAAAATATGCGAATCTTCAATAACGAGCGAATATACAGTTTGCGAGCGGTTACAAGCGAGCATCTGCACACTCCAACCGGCAATTGTGTAAAAATGGTGGACCGTTTTCTCCTCCGTCAGTAGGTCGTTAATTCGCTAGTCTGTTGTCGTTGCCACACTTAGTCACCACGATATGGAGTAGTTTCCTAACCGCACTGATCAGCTTTTCTGTCATTTGAAAACTTTTATAATTCCGTATTAGTCGAATGGGGAGGTGAGGTTGTGGTGATCTCGCAGCACTGCAGAAATACTCGGCCAGATCACGCACCTGGCATTAAAATTCCTCGAAAATATTATGGTAGAGCATTGAAAACAGCCAGTAAAGCCTGCCGCTGAAAACTTCAAGGCTTTGAGATCATTAACTGCAATGGCATCAGTTCATCAAGAGTGTCAATGGCCGGCTGAGCCGGGAGCTGAAGCTACAACAATTCCGGCTAGTCGACGTTACGACTGACTCGGCATGTGCCATCACTCGTGATAAAGCTA